GATCGTTATTCATATTCTTCTCATCGACTACCTAATTTCATCCTCTTTATTTCTAAGGTAGAGAAAAAAAAAAAACTTGTGCAATATATTTATATGCATATATAAGTAGGATTAATTAAAATTTTAAAATAAGATAAAAATATTTCTACGCTAGTAAATAATAGTATTGTTTGAAGCATTCAATGAATTTGACGGAATATATATAATAGTAGGAGAATTCCTTGGCGTAGAACACATAAAGCAGCCGCCTTAGTACTTTGTACTTACGTAACTGTCAATTCAGTGTCGCTATTCTATCGCGGACTTCTAGAGTCGACTCTGGAGTTTGGACCATCATGCTAGAGCCTAGAATACAGTCTATAGTTTTTAGTTTAATAAGGTATTAATTATATGAAAATAGATACTTGCCTTTCTCAAATTTTGGAGAAAAATATAAAATGTTATGGATTAATTATTATTTAAAAAAAAATTATATTTTTCTTTTACTGGAACAATTTATTATGTACTTTTACACTTTTATTTTCAAATTTATAAATAATATTTTTAAATTTGGATCTAACAAAATGAATTTAATATTTATTCGAGAATAAATTAGATCTAATAAAATAATATTTTTATAAAATAATAAATATATAATAAATTTATTAATAATAATTAAAAGAAATAATAAAGTTTATTTTCATATTTATTATAAATTATAATTATAATTATAATTACAATTTATTTATAGTAAAAAGTGGTTTGTGATGCGGAAATTTGTTTTTTTTAATGATCTTATACATATCAGTTTTAATTAGTGGATTTTTTTATTTAAATTAATTTTCCAATTTAGATAATGTTTCGTTTGTCATTAATTTTAAGAGTATTCACTAATGTCTTACTTAATAAATAACATAAAATCAATTTTTGTAATAGATATTTTTAATATTAATTTAATGAAAATGTTTATAGAATTATATTTATTATAAACTTAAATTTTAAGTATTAATTTAGATATTATTTGATGTAAAAAGTATTAAATAACTAGAAATAAAAGATGAAAATTAATGGAAGAATTTCTTAAAATATTTAAATGTAAATTACTGGAAAACATAAATTATTGTAAACATCAATTGCAAAGAATGTGACCATTATAGGAAATATAAATTATGAATGATAGAGAAGAGACTGATAAAAAACAATGAGAATGTAATCTAAATTTTTAAGAATTTTATTAAAATAGTTTTTCTTTATTCACATCGTGTCATTTTCTTTTCACTTATTTTTTTCTTATTTATATTTATTATTTTTTATAATTGTCAAAAAAAAAAAAAAAAAGGTTACTCTTTTCAATTTTGTAAATCTCTTTTTATAAGTTTATTGTCTTCCTTAATTCTTTAATTTTATTTTAATCCTTGATTTTTTTTGTATGATATTTTAGTAGCTTATTATCCTCGATCCTTCAATTTTTTTCATTTATTTCTTCTCAAATCCTCAATTTTTCTCATTCTATATTTTAATCTCTTTCTATCTTTATCATCGATTTTAAATTATTTATCAACTTTAATATTTTCTATTTTTTTGTAAATTTATAAATAATAAAAATATAATAGAAAAAAGTGGATAATAATTAAAATAAGATAAATTTATAATAAAATATTTTTTTATTTAAAATGTGTATGATTGTGAATAAAAAATTAATAAAAAATATTATATTTGTATAAAAAATATTTTTAATTTTTTTTATGAAATTTCTTTAGATCCAAAAATTTAATTGTTTTTTTGAATTTCGTTCTATTTTTTCGGTTTTTATAAAAAAATCAATTCAAATTAATTTATTTAGAAATAACATTCAGGTTTTCAAATTGGTTAAACCGGTTCAGTTTAAAAAATATACTTATAATAAGTTGTCTTTCATTTCCCTTTTCACAAAATTAAAGCTTATTGGTGATAACACTACTATAAATAAGGCCTTCAACGTCGTTGAAAGTTAAGACTTTCAAAGTCGATTCTATTTATATTATATTTTTATTATTTATCATATTTTTTTTAAGTTTAAAGAATTACCAAATTATTTTTTTGTCATCGACGTGATTCGAACCCAGTACCTTAGTGTTGGAGATCGATACTCCAACCACTAAACTACTCGAATTTTTTGATAGTAAGTTACAAATAAATTATATTTATATACAAATAAATATATATCCAGTGTAAATATATAAATACAAATATATTTATATATTTTGATATATTTATATAATTATATATTTATATATTGGATGTGAGGGCACGCTCGAAGGTGAAAGTGTGTGTCGAGTGGGTTTTCAAAATTTAATGTCAAATTTGTGAGCGAGTCTCTATATATGGGTTTGTAATTTAATGACAAAATATAATATTTATAATTTATTTATATAATAATATAAAATAAATTTGAAAAACGCATCATTCGCTCAAGTGACACATTCGCTCAGCGAAAAATACCAATTTTCGCTCAAGCTAGGCTTGAACGAGTGAATTTCCGTGAGCTTTAACGTATTTTCACTCAAACGAGAGTCAATCTCACTTTCACCCTCGATCGCGCCCTCACATCCAACATAAAAATATATAAATATATTTGTATTTATATATTTACACGGATATATATTTATTTGTATATAAATATAATTTTTTTGTAAATTATTATCAAAAAATTATAGTAGTTTAGTGGTTGGAGTATTAATTTTCAACTCTAAAATACTATATTCGAATCCTATCGATGACAATTCTCTAACTTAAGTGAATTTTTTACTGAAAAAAATAAAAACACTTTCCGAGAAAATATATATAAATAAATATATATTTACACGGATATATATTTATTTGTATATAAATATAATTTATCCGTAAGTTATTATCGGAAAATTACGGTAGTTTAGTGATTGGAGTATTAGCTTTCAATTCTAAAATACTAGGTTCGAATCTCGTCAGTGACAATTCTCTAACTTAAGTGAATTTTTGACTGAAAAAAATAAAAACACTTTCCAGAAAATATAAATAAATATATATTTATACGGAATATATATTTATTTGTATATAAATATAATTAATTTGTAAGTTATTATCGGAAAATTACAGTAGTTTAGTGGTTGGAGTATCAACTTTCAACTTTAAAGATCTGGGTTTGAACCCTGCTAGATGACAATTCTCTAACTTAAAAGAATTTTTGGTGAAAACACATTCAACGTCGATTCCAAATAAACCGACGTTGAATGTCAACTTTCAACGCTCGGTTCATCTTGAACCGACGTTGAATGTCATACGTTTGGTGAAAACACATTCAACGTCGGTTCCAGATAAACCGACGTTGAATGTCAACTTTCAACGTCGGTTCATCTTGAACCGACGTTGAATGTCATACGTTGAAAGCATATTTTGTAGTAGTGTAATTTATCACTTATTATTCGTTACAGTATATCTTTAGTTGGTAAAAGGAAAAAAAAATGTTTAATCGGTGGGTAAAAGTGTGATAAGAAGAAGAAAAAAGAAGACTTACGTGGGAGAAAGGCCACACAGGCTGTGTGATGCATGTCGAATCCGTGAATGTTGTGGAAATAAAAGTGAACCCAAAATTGGATAGGTAGTCTGTTCAGTTTATAGCGTAAGTTGCATTGGTGGAAGCGTTGAGAGAAAGAAAAGTTGAAGACTAAAATGATTGCCAGTGTATGTTTTGCTTGCATGCTCTGTTCCAATTTGTGACGCGTTAGATAGAATTCCTGCGTGTAGAGAGAGTGAAGGATACGAATACCTTGTCTTAATAAAATAATTCTTTCTTCAAAAGATACCGCATTTCATGATACTTCTGTTTACGTTAACATTGTCGGCACTTGTACACACCATTTACTCTTCATTATTTCTCTCTCTCTCTCACCACCTTTGCTTTTTCAATGCATCTTATTCCCACTTTTCCACCATCATCATTTCAATTTGTATATTTTATTTTTACACCATTTTAGTTCTTAAATATCTCACCTCCACCAAATCAAACAACTGTTTTCACACTTTAAATATAAGTAAAATTAACATTTGTACACTCGTCTCTCTCTCATACAAACTCTTTTAAGATGATGAATATAGCATAATTAATTTATAACCTTAATCCTAAAACTCTTTTTTATAGGTATGGATGGTTATTTATTGAAAAATATCTCTTTCGTAAATCGATTTTGCTACCTCAAAGAGTTAACCTTTAATTTTCAACATAAAAAAAAAACACGTTTCGTTTGAGAATTTCCAATTAACATTTGGCAACGAGTAAGTTGGTTTGATTTGAACATAAATGACTCTATTAAAAAAAAAGTATCTTTATCAAATAATTTGATCATGCAAAGTCTTTTTTTTAATGAAATTTAAAATTTTCTTCTCAAAATTAGAAGAAAGCTTATCTTTAATCAACTAGTCCAAAACTACTTGTAAGTTTCACACTTGAGAATCCCTTACATTAAAAATGATTAACTTATTTGATAAATAACATAGGTTGTATTCAAGTTTTAAGAGTTAATAGTATAAGAAGGGTATTTTAGGTAATGTTGAGGGACATTCAGAGGAAGTTGTAGTTAAGTAGTATTTAAAATTGTGCTTAACAACTTTTTTCCACTTGATTAAAAATGTGGAAGGTAGTGTAGTGAATGATGGGGTTGTGTTTGTATGAGTAGTCTTTCTTGTAGGGGAATAGTTGGTAAATGGACGAACCACCGTGCCCAGCTAATAATAAACTATGATATAAACGCAGAATCTAAGTTTAGATTCTCAGCATAATTTCCTCACCTTTCCCCAAATTTATATTTTTTACAGAAAATATATTATTATTTTTTAAAACAAAATGGAATTTTAATTTAGGGTGAAAGGGAACAGATGCATTCTATTTCACTTGCGGTGACAGCGAAACATCCCAACCCACACCAAAACTTCTATATAAACCCAATTTCTAGCGCACACACATTGTCCGTGGGTTACAACACTCTTCTGTTGTTCCACGCACAACCATGGAACCACCATTGCAACAGCAACCACCGCCGCAGCGATCCATCACCATCCTCGGAAAATACCAGCTCACGCGCCTCCTCGGTCGCGGCAGCTTCGCGAAGGTCTACCAGGCGCGATCCCTCATCGATGGCACCGCCTGCGCCGTCAAAATCATCGACAAATCCAGAACCGTCGACGCCGGCATGGAGCCCCGCATAATCCGCGAGATCGATGCCATGCGCCGCCTTCACCACCACCCTAACATCCTTAAAATCCACGAGGTTATGGCCACGAAGACCAAGATCCACCTCATCGTGGAGCTCGCCGCTGGCGGCGAGCTCTTCGCCAGAATCTCCCGTCGCGGCCGTTTGCCGGAATCCACGGCACGGCGGTACTTCCAGCAACTGGTGTCCGCGCTCCGGTTCTGCCACCGCAACGGCGTGGCTCACCGGGACCTCAAGCCGCAGAACCTCCTCCTCGACGGCGAAGGCAACCTCAAGGTCTCCGATTTCGGCCTCTCCGCACTGCCGGAGCATCTCAGGAACGGCCTTCTCCACACCGCATGCGGTACGCCGGCGTACACAGCGCCGGAAATCCTCCGGCAGAACGGTGGCTACGATGGGTCGAAGGCCGACGCCTGGTCCTGCGGCCTCATCCTCTACGTGTTCCTCGCCGGCTACCTTCCGTTTGACGACACGAACATTCCGGCGATGTGCAAGAGGATTTGCCGGCGAGATTACCAGTTCCCTGACTGGATAACAAAACCAGCTCGTTATGTTATATATAAATTACTCGACCCGAATCCGGAAACCCGAATGAGCCTGGAAAGCCTGTTTGGGAACTCGTGGTTCAAGAAATCATTAAAACCGGAAACGGCGGAGGAGAGCGCGTATGGATGGGATAACGTTTATGAGAAGGGTTGTTACTACGAAGGGGTTAAGTGTTCAGGTGTGAACGCGTTTGATATAATATCGATGTCTTCGGGTTTGGATTTAACGAGGTTGTTCGAAACGACGTCGGATGAGGGAAGCAGGAGGGAGAAGAAATTCACTTCGAGTGCGCGCGTGGAGGAGGTGGAGGAGAAGGTTAAGGAAGTGGGTGGGGATTTGGGGTTTAAGGTTGAGGCTGGAAAAACCATTAACGGTGCAATTGCATTGTTGAAAGGGAAGGTGGCTTTGGTCTTTGAGTTGCTTCAGATTGTGCCCGATCAGCTTCTTTTGGTGGCTGTCAAGGTCGTGGAGGGTGGGTTAGAGTTTGAGAAGGATCATTGGGGGAATTGGAAAAATGCCTTGCAAGATCTCGTTCTTTCTTGGCACAACGATGAACCCTGAATTTATCTACCATCCATCTTTCCTACATACATACATACGTACATATCTACACTATCTGCACTCACCACTACTCAGTTCTGTTTCTTAGGTTCTTACTTCTTCGTAAGTGAAGCATCTACAGGGGTTTGCAAAACATGACAGACACAGAAGACTCAACTTTCTTGTCTGTTTTGTGAAGAACACTTGATTTCATTTGATTTTGATTATGTGTAGTAGCTTAGTTTAGGTGCGTTAATTTATGATGTTCTGTCGAAAAAGTATATATATCTATATACATATATGTAGCAGTTGTTATTATGTAAATGTGAATGGGTCTCTCCAGGCTAATGTTTCTCTTCTCCATTTTTAGTTTATAGCAAAAATATGTGCTTTCGTCCATATTATTAAGCTAATGGTCATTTTATTAGATCCAACTCCTTCCTATAACATGTTATCTATGAAAACTACTTATCAGCTTTATTTTGACAGTAACTGTATCCATGCAAAACGACATCATTTGACGAATAAATATCTATCGGGTGATGAAGTTTACATCTTTGTCACAAGTTAGAACGTAATGAAAATAAATTGAACAGTTTATTAAAGAACCAATAATATCGGAGAAAAAAAAAGAGAGAGAGAGATTAATTAGACCTTAAACTTTAGAAAACTTAAGTTTTACTATACATTGCGTTATATTATTTGAAAAACATATAGACCGTTGAATCTGGGAAAATTACTGGGACCTGCAATGCAAAGTGGGAAGGTCCTAATAAAGGGCAGATTGTGCAACTTTCAACGGCTTCAAGGAATGCAGATGTACAATATTTATGAATCAAGTACTATTCACAATCATATAATATTTGAAAGGAATTGTAATCATGATCTTTCTCCTGGATGCAATCAACCAAAAACATCAAAAGCTGTAGTTTCTGTGAGGTGGAGACTAGTTGAGAAAGATGCATGTACCCCACTGAATCAATTATGCAGAATATAGCAAATCAGAACAGTGATTTTGTATATATTCATGCAGCTCGTGATTACCTAAATGAATGGTGGAAACATAATTGTATTTTATCAAGATGTTACTGCATGCCATGTTGCCAATATTTAAGCCACGCCACATTCATATACACAATTAACAATTTTACACACAGATATATGCAGATTAATATGAAATTTTATGGGGACACATTTTTCTTTCGGTGTAGTTTCTGAATACTTCGAATCTAACCTACGTTCATGGAATGGCACAATTGAATTGAATTACTTGGGTGCTGACATTTGAACATATTATAATGCTTGGTGATAACGACAAATGAGGATATGGCTGTTGAAGATAGGCACAAGAAGATTGAAGATTAAGAGATAAAAAGAAGAATGTGTCTGTTTGTGTTAGTGATTTCAAGAACACCATTAAAATATTTACAACTAGCCGACTCATCCAATCCCTCTACCACTTAGGCCAAACCCTTTCTCAAAGATTATGTATCAAGTAATTCCCTTTTTATTATATTCCTTCTCTTAAACAACAATTATGGCTTTAACTCAAAAGGGACCACTGATTTTCACATTCAAGATTTCATAACATTCGTAATTTCCCATTTGCTGGATTTTATAGCAAAAGCTAACATTTTGCTATGAAATTCCAGGGAAGTAATTCAGTGGATGTTTCAGAAATAAAATAAAATTTGGAATTAATGGTATAAAATCAAAGATTAATTCCAATTATGGTAGACTTCGAAGATTTTTTTTTCCAAAATGTGTAAAAAACACACTTTCAAAAGTGTTTAATTCTATAACATGAAGCAAACTTCTGCTAGTTCAACTGTGTAATAGTAACAAATAAACTTTCAAATTTTTAATTACCAATAGAGTTCCAGAAGCTTAATTCTAAAACAAACAAAAAAAGTTCTGTAATTTAAGTTTTGAATCAACGACACTGAACTAGTTTATAAAAACATGCTTAGAATAGAAAAATGATAAAAAAAAAAACAAAAACAAAATAGGGGTGCAAAAGTTAATTGCTGAAAAACAGGTATCATAAGTGACTCAAGCCATACAATATCTACGGTCCAATAACAGGAAATATCCAACCATTTCGTCGTATTTATTCATGGAATTCTTATTCTCACTCCTTTATTTATTTTTTAACATTATTCTTGATAGAAAGTTTTCATTAATTATTTTTCAGAACAAAAACGTATTTTTTTTATATATATCTCAAATAGATATATGCTGAAAAGAAATCATTTTAATTTCAGAAACACAAATATTGAAATATGACTCAAATTGATTTTATTTACAGACACACAAACATTGAAATATAATGAAGAAAATTAATTTTATTTACAGACTACACCAATAAACCAGTGAGAATCTTTAAGAGCGGGAGAAAGAAAGGCTTAAAAAGAGGGTACAGTTTGGGTTATTCTATAAGGGGGTGAACTTAGTAATAGTTTGGGTGAGATAACAAGCTCCAATACGCACCCACCTATGGCTTGGGCTCAGTTAACTAGTGGGCTCTTACTATTTTCATATGTTATGCTGGTAATGAAGGTTATTTCTTTCTCTACTCCAATAATTTCTTCCTTCATCTCATAATTAAATTAAACTTCATTTTACTAATATATTTATCTTCATTTTTAATTTTGGAATGCATTTTAGATTGATTTTTTTGGAAACACATTTTGAAACACCCATTCCCGAACGGTATTTCCAAAAAAGTCAATCTGAAAACATATTTTGCAACATCCAATATGAAATTCAATCTCATTTTACAGTACTATTTCACATTAAGTAATTTGGGTCGATTTATGCAATTTAAGTGCAAGAACATATAATTTATACATAATATTAACGATTAATTATCTTTAATTATTAAAAAAAGTCTTTAATGAAGGTAATAATAAAAAAAAATCAAATAATCAAATAATGAAGATGTAAAAGTTATATACAAATAAAAAAAAATTAAGATAACAAATAAAATTATAGAAATAATATTTTAAATATTTCACTTGAAAGTATAAAGATACAGGGAAAAATTATTAAAATACAAGAAACAAGAGTAGTAATAATATATGACAAACAAAAACTAGCTACGGAATGTTAATAAAAAGTTTTAGGGGTTTTGCGAATTATACCTCTCAATTAGCTAAGTACAACATCCTATTCCTTTTTTTTTTATATATAAATTTTCCGAATTACGCTTCTCATTTATTCCTTTTTAAAATTAATTTTTGGTTCATGAAGCCCCTTCGTTATTCCGTAAATATTTTTATTTCCCTTCACTCCTTTTGGATTTTTTGTTTGTTTGTGGAATTCATTCTTATGCTTTTTTTTTTGAGGAACCCATTCAGTTGTTCAATAAATGTTATTAAGTTATGCATATCTTTTTCTTCTGTAAACATGATTCTTTTGTTTCAATTTCTTTATTTATCATAAGTAAATTTATATTTTCGGAAATTAGGATATATCTGAGTTGCTTATTACCTATTTATGATGTTAACTTTTACGCAATTCAATGTGAATTTTACTTTATTTAAAGTTTTTTTAATAAATTTTAAAAAAATTATTCTCTCTTTTCATTTTTTTCTTGTATATTTTTATAAATTGTTTGATGAAACAATATAAAAAAATTTAAACACATGTCAGATATAATTCCTCCGCTAAAAAGTTAATTCAAGCAGCTTATATTTTATTCAAACACTTAACTTTTGGAATGAAGTGCATTAATTAATTAAACGAAGGAGTATAGTTAATAGTTGCAGGAACTTAAACAGCGTCATTAAGCGTGGATTGTTTGCATGAAATCATGAATAATAAGAAACAAATAAGAAAGTTAAATAAATGTTTCTTTAAATTAAAATGTCGAGGAATCAAACTGTTATAAATTATTACAATTTAATTTAATAAAACTTTCTATCTCATAATATAAAATTACATTCTACTATAAAAAATTAAAGTGATTTTTTTTAAATTACGTAACCTGATTTTTAAACAAGTTAACACTTTTAGAATATACAAGTTTTTTAGACACTTGAGCTTAAAATAAAAATACAAATTGTGTTGTTTAGTTAGTTTGTTTTTTCTTTCAACCAAATGAGACAAAAAAACAAAAACAAAAAGGTTTGTAAAGTTATCGTTGGCTGCATGGTACAAAATTGTGAATATTTTTGGTTTTACTAAAAAAAGTAAAATATTAAAGTATGAAGAAAAAATAATAATTTATTTTACTAAAAAGTAAAGATGGTTCTACATGGTCTTAACAATAATGGAGTTGTGAGTGGAGCTTAAAGTAGAACGTTATTTTAAAATGGTTTTATTATCTAGAGTTTTTATGTTGGATGGAAATAAGTTGAATGAATAAAAATAGATGAATACTAAATTAAAATTTTAAATATTTAATTAAAGAGAAATAAAAATTAGATGAATTTCACTGTATATCAAAAATATTTTTCCTATCCTCTATTACATAATTTCATTCTTTATTTTCGTAAAAATAAATTACTTTTGATATTCTCCGAAATGAGTGAGAAATGAAAAAAATAATTGCGAATGAAAATATAAACTTTCTAATGGAAGACAATTAAAATTTTTATGCTCATATTTTCTAATTATTATTTAATTTGATCATCAACCATATTTTTTATAATTTAAATAATAATCACTATTATTATTCAATCATTTTTTTATTATAATAATAATCTATAAAGTATGTATTTATTTTAATTATTATAATAACAATCGAAGAAAAAAAATGAATGGGTATTGAAGGTTATTATTATGGCAATGAACCTCCATAAATAACAAAAAAAAACACATACAATATTAGTAGAAATAGTGTTTATGTCATCTTTTTATATATTATTTTATTCCAATAAGTTAAAATTATATATTTATATTAATTTTAGTTCTATATAATATATAATTATTTAATAAAACAGTTAATAAAAATATATTATGGAAGAGATAAAGTGCCTTTTCAATCTTGGGAAGATATGAATACGGAATAATGATTT